CAATAGTACCTCATGGGTGACGTGGAAATCTATTAAAATATTTCCATATAATAAATTTAAAAGTGAAAACAATATTTTTAATAAATTTTTTTAACTTTTAATGATCAAGAGAGAAGAATCCAACATTTATCGGATAGCGCTGCTTCTAACGCTCGGCGGCGCTGGTCCTAGCGGCTGCCGCGCGGTAAGGAGAGAAAAGGAGGCGTATATCACGAGAATCGACCGAAAAGCTGAAATAATTCCGAGCACTGGTATTACTATGGTGAGCACCTTTAAATATTTGACCTGAAAAATTACTGTTTTAATTATAAAATTTATTATATTTAAGAATTATAAAATTTATTTATTTACTGTTTTTAAATTTATGTAATTAAAATTTATATAATTTTAAGATGTGTTATGCAATAAACGTTATTAAATTGAAATTTATTTGTTATTCAAGAAAAAATTTCAAATAATTTTTTACTTTTGCCACGATTTTTATTCTTGTCGCAATGACTACACAGAAAGTCGTTTCTTGGTAAAGGTATCGGTGTAATCATATTCGCTACCAGAGAACTTATTTTCTTTGTGTGACACTGTGAGATAGTTTAAACGGTTTTAAGACCGTTGGGTTTATTCGAGCCACAGCTAGCGATTTTGTTTATTAAAAATTAAAATCTTATGAATTACAAACGTAATAAAAGATTGAAATTTTCTTATTGACTTTTTCCTCTTACTTTCCTTTCCTTTGCTTTCCATTTGTATTATAAAATGTTCTCATTGCATAACACATCTTAAAATTATGTAAATTTTAATTACATAACTTTGAAAACAGTAAATAAATAATTTTTATAATTCTTAAATATAATAAATTTTATAATTAAAACAGTAATTTTTTAGGTTAAATATTTAAAAGTACACACCATAATAATATGCTGCAATAAAAATTAAAAAAAATTTTTTTTAAAATAAGATTTAAACCAGCGATATACAGCGCAGTGGTCAGGCGCCTTATCCACTAAGCCACGCTGTTTAGTTGCCAATCTGTTCTTACTGTACGCTACATTATGCGCACGTAAATCTTTAAACGTGTTTTTTTCGCGAATGCTTGGGAAGTGGGTCCTATTATTTTACGATGAATTAGTGGGAGGGTACTTCTACAACATATATAAAATTCAGCAAAATTGGAGGAGGTAATCTCTGGTGTTCCCGTTGTAAGTTGCTCAACTCGTCAGTTTAGTTCACTTGTCGATCTATCCGTAAGTGTTCTAACTAGCGCTCGGAATTTTCAGGTGATCGATCAGTTGAGACCGTTCTAACTTTGAGTTCGGACATTTCTAGCTGAAGATATGTTTGAGCAGATCCAACTGTTCGTCTCCTCCCCCCCCCTCCTCCTCTCTCTCTCTCTCTCTCTCTCTCTCTCTCTCTCTCTCTCTCTCTCTCTCTCTCTCTCTCTCTCTCTCTCTCTCTCTCTCTCTCTCTCTCTCTCTCTCTCTCTCTCTCTCTCTCTCTCTCTTTCTCTCTCTCTCTTTCTCTCTCTCTCTTTCTCTCTCTCTCTCTCTGTCTCTTTTTCTCTCTCTTACTCTCCTCCTTCTGCAGAAAAGTCAGCTCTTCAGCTTTCATTTTTTATTTGAAATGCATACTAGTTTTACTTTATTTGTTTTGTCCGAGCTTACATTTAAACTGTTCGAATTATCCGAAATGTTTGAACTTGACGCTATTTTTTTTAATTGGTTGAATAGTTTAAACATATAACATCGAATCTTTTGTCTGAGAAGCTTTAATTCTAACTGCATGATTATTTTAGATATTAGTATTAAAATCTTAGAATTTTTAGTTTTAAGTATTTATAAACGGATTATACCTCTTGAAATAAATCAATTACTTTTTATAAATGTTTTTCTCATTTTTTCTCTATTTTTCCTTATTTGGATAAGATGTTTAAAATGTCTACTGTTGCATTTCTTTCTTTAGAAAGCTACGCAATTGAAGCTATCAAATTAAAAAAATAGATTTTTTTATTCATCTTTGCATGATAAGTTACTTTTTTGTTGTGTCGTTTTTCATTTATATCGTGATTTATTAAATGTGCTATTTATAATCAATTTCAAGTAATTCTGACTTTTTCATACAGCTACGATGAAGAAAGAGGAACAAGAAGTATTGCAAACTCGCGAAGATTCGCCAAAGGGCGGTACCGCGAGCATTGCGACGCCCATGGCAATATCGGCGATACCGGTGGACGACATTGAGGATGAGGAGGATGAGGAGGAAGAGGAAGAGAACGTTGAGGGTGAAGAAGAGGAAGAAGAGAGAGACGAGAAGGGTGGAATTGCAGTGGAGGGTGTAATGACGACGCAAGAAGAGGT